ATAGAGAAAAAATATCGCTCTGGGATCCTCACGAATACCCTACATTTCATATTCTGGCTGCGTTACCAGCGTGGTTGGTCCTTGTAGTGTAGTGGTTAACACATCGAACTAGAATACCGAAGACGTGGGTCCGAATCCTGCCAAGGGCATTTGATATTTTTCTCTTATTCTCTCTACTTCACTATATACACACCGAACGCATAATTTATTGATACTATAGGAGTTAAAAGGAGACTCTGCTCGCAGGGTATAGCTCTGTCTTTTGGTCAAAAACAAATAATAATATACTTACATACAGTTTGTCGTGATTTCTATCAAAGAAAGGAAATGATACGGAGATGTCAAGCCGACCTGAATTGCCGTCATCATTTTTAGGAAGATTTGAATCTCCAGAAGGGTTCCCAAATGGATAAAATTGAGATATTGGAACAGATTGTACTGAAGGTAATGYTATCCATAAGCACAAAAGCAGCAAAGTTAAACTGTTGAAGTTCATTTTGGTTTCCTCTTCCTTGCCTTACTGCATTGTACGAGTCAGACAGAATATTGCAGGTGAGATTAATACACCGATCCCGGCCCGCTTGTCAATCTCCGTACTAAAAGTAGCCAATCAGAAGTTAACCTTTGAAAACGTCATTTCCGGTTTTAGACGACGCCATTTTGTCACACAAGTTATCAAGGTCTGTGGAGGTTGATACCTTTGATATCTAGTAATATTTTCAGTAAATATTGCTTTGAGGCTTGCTTTTGAAATTTTTTAAGTTCCGAAAAATAACTAGAGGTATGGTCAAGCACTGCTGCTATGGTACTTGTAAATCTGATTCACGGAAAAGTGATATATCCGTCGTGTTGTTCCCCTTCCCAAAACCCAAAACAAGGCATGAAGACTGCCTTCGTTGGATTAAAGCTTGTGGAAGGCCTCACAGCGATTTTAACATCCAGAAAATTACGAAGGACACATATATATGTTCAAAGGTAAGCAATAAAAACGATATTTTATTATCAGAACAATCATTTTGTGACATTTTCAATATTCGTTCTTACAGCACTTCATCGATGGTCATCCATACCTGCAGATGGCAGTGCTGTAAAAAAAGGAAGACCAGCTCCAAAAAGGAGAATGCAAACTACTGAATCCTCAAAGTAAGATTGATATAACATAATTTTTCGTGTGTTTTCAATGTAAACAGCTATAACAAGACACTAAACTCAATACTCCATTTATTTGGTTCTTATACAGTCCTAATGTAACCCAACAAAAAAGACAAAAAGAAARCGAAGACGAGCCCGAACAGTTCACAGGCATAGATACATTTACATTGGATCCGCCGATATTACAAGGTTAGAAATTATGCTTTTACATGCTATATTTCATTATTCAGAACTTCTTGTTATATATGGAATTGCATATTTACAGTGAAAGTCAGCAAGCTTCATGAGCATTTGTTGACATTTTGTTTTTTCAGGAAAAATTCTCTGAACAAATAAGTCCTTACTTGTGTACACAACAAATTCACAGAAAGGAGCTCCAGTCACCAATAACTGCCCCTGGACCTGGAATTCATAATCATGACCCCTTTTTAGCTGAWGACTGTCATTATTAGCTTCCAAACAAAAATTTGGGAGTTGAACAGCTTGCCTTAAGATCATGTCCCTAGCACTATAGGGACATTTGACTTCTAAGATTCCAGTCTTCCCCATATCACAAACCTTTCCATCAGGAGAGGCCCCCAARAAACTGAAAGCAGGATTAACAACTAAACCACAATCATGAACATGAATGGCTCTGTTTTTCTCTACATATGCTCCTTTGGCATCTCCCTCATGCCTTTTTCCATAAGAAGTGGCCTGAGATGAAAATGTGTCAGCATCAAAGAGGCTTTTAAGGAATTTTTCATTGATATCTTTTTTTCTCTTGAGAATTCTCCCAAATTGGGAGGCAGTGATTCTTTTAGCTCGACATTTAAACCACAGGCTGCTTTCGGATTGAAGGACTGTTGCCTTTTCTAAGTCTACTGCATCCTTGTGGGTTATTGGCTCTATRYTGTKGCACTGGRGGTGACTGGGGCTTGTCAAGTTRTATTCAACAGGCTGTGGAAATATCACATCTCCACAGGTTGATGATACTGTTGCACAAACATAAGGTTGTTCTTGGTTGTAGAATTTTGCCTGAAAAAAATATGCACATTATATTCAAAATGCACTATCATTAATAACAGCACTTCTTTTGAAATTTTATAGGAGTGACATACTCATTGGACAATCTGGCTAATGCCTGTGAGTTGAGGAGACTTGAAAATGAAATTGAAAGACTGAAGCTGCAGGTAGAAGAAGAGCAGAAACTAAGACATAGCCTAGAACAGCAGCTGGCATCATCAGTTCTCAAGGAGGAAGCACTTAAAAGGAGCTTTCATGAAAAAGTGGCCAAAATGAACTTAGATACAAGAGAAATTGGGTTTTCAGTTGAGATGGTTRATCAATCCAAAATAAAAGCACTCTTGAAGTATTATACTGGGTTTGATTACAATGCTTTTGAAGCTCTCTTCAAGTACCTGATTCCCAAACCTGATGAAAATCCAATTTGCTACACAGAAAAGGCAAATGCTTGTATGGAACTGAATTTAAAAAACCAATACTTCCTTGTGATGTGTAGGCTGAGAAATGGGTTCCATATCAAGGATCTTGCCTACCGGTTTAATATATCAGAGCAGCTTGTGAGTATCATTTTTAATTCCTGGATACACTATATGTATTTAAGGTTAGGTTATTTGTCTCTCTGGCCTGACAGGGATACAATAATCCAGCACATGACACCTGCATTCAAGAAAGACTTCCCTAACACAATTGCAATCATTGACTGCACAGAAATAAAAACAGAACGACCATCATCCCTGTCTTGTCAGTCACAGCTATACTCAGATTACAAGTCAACCACCACCCTGAAAGCATTAGTTGCAACTGACCCAAGAGGATCACTAATGTATACTTCATCCTTGTTCACTGGCTCAATATCTGATAATAATATTTGTAAAGACAGTGGTTTCTATGACCTCTTACAAGACCACCTCAAAAATAACAAGATTCAGGTAMATGATGCCATCATGGCTGATAAGGGCTTTACTATTGAAAAGGAACTTAAGGATTTGGGCTTGCAGCTGAATATCCCACCATTTTCTTCCTCCACTGGCCAAAYGACAAGCGGTGATGTACAAAAAACAAGARTGATAGCCAAACATAGAATCCATGTGGAAAGGGCCATCAATAGAATTAAGAATTTTAAACTTGTGAACAGAAGGATCCCAGTCTGTATTTTTCACAATATCAATGAAATTTGGTTGGTTTGTTGCTATTTAACTGCACTTCAAGATGTTCTGTTAAAGATTCCCACATCATGAATAACAGAACTCATGCAAATTGTTAATCAAAAACAGGAATAAAATAGAATACCTGATRAATAAGTGGTGATCCCTGTTGTACACGTCCCAAAGCTGTGTCTGTCTCATTATTGTTCTTATTGACAAGATAGGCAATAGCACTATTTTTCAAAGTAGATTTTAGCTGCTGAATTTCTGTCTTGGTGGGAGGGACCAACCTGTCACAAGCAAAAAAAGATTACACCTTTGTTGCTGGAAAACCTGGATAAAATAACCAAAAACAATGAGATTTGTAAATATAACTGCTGATGAAAATAAAGATTTTATCTTTGTGTTGATCAGTTTACCTTTGTGTTGTTGTTCTGGTGAATACAGGCCTTTTTTTTCTCGTCGCATAGCGTTTTGCCTTAGCCAAGATCATATTTACGACAGGTCGGGGTTTAATTTTGGTTCCTCTGGGCCTATGCCATTGTTGGGGTAAACTAGTACAAGACGAGGAAGTCGGTACTTCCTTCAGTCCTTTTTGCTGGTAGTGTATCAACGTGAAAACCAATGCAAGAATATGGGAACATGTTCCAGACATACTAAAAAGAGATGCCACATATTAGAATCTGATGATCTCCCTTTTAAGTGATAAACAAAATGAAGAGATGCATGCTTACCCTGCCACGCAAGTGCAATTACAATCTGTAAAACGACGTTCCTCTGTAGAAATATCCATATGGAGTTTGTGTGGTGTTTCATTTTTGCGCATCGATCGGTAACATTTGCTTGAAACAATTGCATGTTTTTCTTCAGATGTTTGCAATTTGACATCAAAGAAATAACCGTTTAGGAAATAGTTATATCCTCTCTCCTTTGATCTTAACGTGAGAGGTCGTGATCCGAAGAAATTTAATCCAAAGTCTTTGGGTAATGCATTCATCGATGTAACGCCAGTAACCGCCATAATGGATTTAATGTCCGAGGTTTCCTGGTTGCTATGCGTTGCTATGAAGGGGCGGAGCTTGAGGGACCGGTGTAACTATGGTCACGCAATTCTGATGGTAGTCACATTTTGTAAAACAAGGCTTTGGCTTTTCTTAATAGCCAAACGAATTAGCACTTAGAAAAAAAAAACTATTTTTATGCATACATTTAAGTCTGGTGTGTAACAACAAATTAATATTAATTAGCATAATATGTAAATTATACCCAGGCCTGCGCGGCAGTTTTTTTTATATTCGAGTTTTTGTCAACACGTGCAACATCATTTGAAGTATAATTCATCTATTTTTTGTATCATAATCTTTGTGTAGGACTCTTAACCGTCAGGTGCGGAACGAGTATACTATTTCTCTTATATTCATATTAGTTTTGTAATATTTTGTTGTTTTTCGTTTAGAAACCTCATCGCATCTCATCCACATCTTGTTGTAATCTCACTCAACTGATCTAGATTACATAATCAAATCGTTCCGAATGCAATTATTCTGCAATTATTATCTACTCAAGGTCTTCAAGTATGGAATAAATCGTTTGTTATCAACCTTATGAGCGTTTCTGCGTTTTAGTGCCTATATGGTGTTATAATAATCCCATTATGTTCAGATAGCTGACGTAGTAGTAACAATCTTTAATACGATGTTACTGCGGTTTTCGATATTCTGCAAACTCGGAAGTAGCCAGCTGCAAGCTAAAATTCTTTTTTCGCGTGATCAATACATGGAGTATCTATCGCCACCCTATTAGCATTGTCTAAATGGCTTAAACCCGTCTCTTCTAAAATTAGAACATCGGGTCTGACCCAAGACAAATGATCGCCCGAGCCTGTTTTACATCTCATTAAGAATGCAAAAACAGAACAACCAATCAGATCGAAGGACGTCCGTCCGACTCGAGAGAGAGAGAAAGAGAGAAAACATGGCGTCCAATTCAAGAAAAAGAAAATATAGCAAAAAAAGTGATGAACAACGCAATATTTTAGAAAGTTACTACGAAAGGGGGATGACAGGAGCAGGAATCCTTCATGCTGAAGCAATAAAAAATGCTTCGGATGAGGCAGTAATTACAGTTGACCAAGTTAAGGTAAGGAAGCTTTAAGTATTTTCCAAACTTGGATGAAGGTACAGTTCTTATTAAGCCTCTCTTACGTACACTAAAGGTTGTAAAGTTCAACTTTTTAAAGATTTTACTATTTTTTTAACACATAATTAAATTAAATATTCGAAAAACAGAAACAACAGTTTTACATCGAAATGTGTGAAGTGTGAAGTGTGTGCATGACCAACAATCAACAAAGCACGACGTTGACAATTTTTAAAAGAACAGTACAGTAAAGGAACAGTAAAGGTAAAGGCAATTGGGTGAACGAATATCGGTATATACGTCAGCTTAGGAAGGCTATATACACAAGCAAATTAAAAGATGTATGCATCTCTTGTAATTTTCTAGAAATGGATTGCTAATAATAACAAGAAGATCAGCATTAATCCAAACGAGGAAGCGGCGTCCTCCTCTTTGACCACTTCTACGAAAATTCCCTCAGGTATACGCGGTCAGAGTGCTTATAATGTATTCTGTGGAGAATTCCTTCAATCAGGTATATATAAGCTGGTTCTTTTTATTTGTTGCTTACACAGGTATAGGGTTTATTTGGATTAATTTTCCCAACGTGTAACCCTTTAAAAGTGCAGAGATACCGCTGATCACAAAGGGACACTTCATGGACCCTCACATGAAGGGATACCGCTGACCGGGGGTGAGAGGATCCGCCATTTTGTTTTAAGTTAAGTGATCATGTCGGGACATTTGACAGTATAGTCGTTTCATTTATACGTTTATATCGTTTGTACTTCATTGTACAAGATTATTGTAAGTAATCCTTCCATTTTACCTAGAGTTAGGTTCCATTTAATTGTGATTTCCGCCTTAATGCTTTCCATTCTACCTCAGGAACATTCTTTCATCGTTGTCATTAAAAGTATTTCGGACGATCGAGGAGTGTTTTTTCTTGATGAAAGAATCTTCAATAAAACATGGCAGTAGTCGAATGTTCTGTCCCAAGTTGTGACTTCAAAACTACTGATGTCAGTGAAACCCTGGCAATTGCTCTTCTTGCTAATCATGGTTTGGCCCATCAAAGCACAGCACCTACCATTGCCGGGCCCATACCAGAACCAGCTCCTCGCGGACCTAAACTAGATCGGACTAAAGTGAATGTTGGAGTCTCTACAGAGTAGTGGAATGTGTTCATACGTCGATGGGAAGTCTTCCGCACAGGTTCAGGCATATAGATGCAGCCTCAGCACCCTCACAGCTATTTCAATGTGCTGGACCAGAGCTAGGAGATAGCATCCTGAAAGTCAACACAAATGCCGCCTCAGGCACTCTCACGCAACTGCTCGACACCATGCGCTCTCTAGCAGTCATCCCCATAGCCACTTGAGTCCTACGCACAGAGCTACTCCAGCTACGACAAGAAAGAGACGAAACCTTCCGAGCCTTAACAGCGAGAGTGCGTGGGAAAGCCGAAACATGCGACCTCACCACAGAATGCGAGAAACCATGTCATACATATATTGACAAAATACCGCTCGCTCAAACAGCCAATCAGAACGCACGAGTTTTTAG